CAGACCAGGCGCCAAGCCAACTGATCCAATCTTCAAAACTAATACGACCTGTCCCAACATCATAGCAGGCGTCCGGCGGCATCCCTCCGGATGAAATTCGTCGCAGAGAGCAGCTCCCTTTTGGGTGGAACATTGCTCTATAAACTAATTACACGACACCTATACGACTGTCCCCAAGGGCAACCACGTAGCCGTTTTTGAGACAAGGATAACTCTATCACTAACCAAACCAGTGGTAGCAGTTGACATCTGAGTCAGATGACCGCCTGTATTACTTGGGATAAATGCAGGGGGTACCTCTTGAGTTAATAGCCAACAAACATTGGCGAATCAAAAGGTTCAGCCGGCCTCCGCCGCCTGGTACCTTTACTACTCAAGCAGGAGTGACGGCGATTGAGTAACACCAAAGTTAACTCATAGTCACTCTCTCAAACTTAGTATGGAGCCTAAAAGGTATGAGTCGTCCGCCTGTTTTTAGCAAACAGGGGCTCTCAACCACTACTCCTGCTAGGTCAACAACCTATGAGTTAAAAGCCAACAAACATTGGCGAATAAAGGGGAACAACCGGTACCCACCGCTTGATACCTCTACTACTCAGTTACTTGGCGACTAGGTAACAATCATGTTTACTTGGTCACTCCTTAAAAATTTAGTATGAAACTAAAAAGGTGTTCATACAGCACCTGTTCACACTAGATTAAATATGGCGAGGAACAGTCGGCCTGACGGCCTAAAGTCTCTAGCCTAAAAACATGACAAGTAGGAAACCACTTTCCTACTTGGTTAATTTTACAAATGACAGGACCGCCTGCCTAAAGGGGATCCAGTCTTTAAAATGGTTCGAATACCGATTGGATAAATAGCCGACTGATCGTCTAGCCTGGAAACAGACAACCAGTCGTCCAGGGGCATAGGCGGCGTGACTAACTATCCGTACCTGTCTGCAACTATCGGCCATGTAAAACAGTCGGTATAGTGTACAATTGGATATCAGAATATTCAATACTTAAACAAATTTGAAGCAAAACAAAAATATTCATTAAAAGGAAGCCGATCATTAAAGACCGACAAAATATTCAGAGCCCCGGCCCCCTGGCCGGGTAAATACAAACAAACGGCACGCAGGCCGGGGAAAGAAGACATAAAGCTTATGAAGGGGGCAGATCTTCAATATTAGCAGCTGCCGCCTGGTCAGCACTCTTTTTGCTGGACTCGGTTTCAGCTGCATCCTTCTTCGATGCATTACCCCCAAGCGGCACAAGCGCCACTACCGGCTGCTCCTCCTCCTCCTCCTCCAACGCTTCTTCCTCAGCAGTGCTAGGATCTCTTGATTATATCTATCAGAACACTGGCGGTACGTTTTTTCCCAGGAGGCAAAGTCGGCATTGGGGAAGAGGCGGCCCCAAGTCATGCGCTGGATTTGAGCAGAGTCTTCCATCATCTCCCGGACCAGCTCTTTCTTTTCTTGCTCGGCCTTTTCCGAGAGCTCCTGAGTAAGACTCTTCTCCTGGGTCACCAGGCGTTCCTTTACGCTCGCCAAGGATTTCTCCAAGGTTTCGTATGAGGACATCTTTTGGCGAAGAGGTCTCAGCTCGGTCTTGAGGTTGTTGATGGTCGCCTCCAGCTCGCTATTCCTCTTCTGGGCCGCCTCTAACTGAGCCCGGATAGCGGCGTAAGCCTGCGCCTGATAATAAAGAATATCAATTGTCAGAACTTCATTTTGGGCAATTTGAAACATTGCCTTATCACAGTCAGAGGCGGCCATAGCTTTTGCAGCCTTTACCTCTTTGTTTTTCCGGTCAAGCGGCTTGCGAAGGCCGTTCACTCGGAGCAGGACCTAAGTAAAAAGGGGAACAGGCGTCAGTTTCCAAACAAAAAAGAAAACAGGCGTCCTGGAATTCAAATACTCAAAAATATGCTAAGTATACCTCAGCAAGGACCCCTGCAATCCCGTCTAGGTCAAGGGTGCCGACACCCCTGACCGCCTCCCTTTCAGCTGGAGGTACGACCTTGATCATAGACTTGGCCACTTCGACCAAGTCAGGCTCCTGAGGGCCGGCTGCATCAAGCATAAACAAACGGATTAGACCTAGTAAAGGAGGGAGCAAGTCTAAAATTTACTAGGACAATTTCATACTTCTAGGTGGCCCAGCTGGAGTTTTAGAAGAAGTGGCCGGCTGTTTCTCAGCCGCCGCATGTTTCCTGGCAGAACCAGGAGAGCTCACAACAGTCGTCCTCCGGGCCTTGGGGTCCGGCTGTTGGGAAGAAGAAGCTCTTGGAGCGCCCGTCTAAAAAAGAAGAAAAGAGTCAGTATATGCATAAACACAACTCCAAAAAAAGGGTGAAAGGTTCGAAGCCCACCAAGGGTGCCCCCTTGTTGGGGGAGTCGGTTGAAGACTGTTGCATGATGGAGGCTCGCAACATGGCCGCCGCAGTCTTGGAGGCGGTAATTTTGCTCATGGCGTCCGCTGCAAAAACAAATAGCAAAGTTAATAAAAGTCATAACAAGAAATGCACGGAACAACAGAGTATTCGACAGGCCGGCTACCTCTTGAGCACCGACTGCTGAGGCCACAGGCGGCCAAAAAGTACTCGTCGTAGAGCCATTTGAAGCTCGGGACGCAGTGCAGGGGTACTTGCTCTCGTACCCCTGAAGTAGAGTTCACCTTCGACTCTACTTTGAAGAGTCCTTTATCTAGGATCTCTTTCTTAGCCTTGGGGGGAACAGGCGGCATGTTGCGGCCGCCTGCAAGAAGGGGCGGATTCCTGTTCCACCTGTTGAAGCGCTTGTTCATCTCTGTGTCTGAACTCTCAATGATAAGGAAGGTGCTCCGCCAGTCCTTCCATTTGTTTGCTTTACCTCTCGTCATGAGGTAGCCCCTGTGGCTCGTCAATTGATACCAGCCGGTACCGCTTGCCTTAGGGGTCCGGCTGAGGTAGTTCATGTGGGCGAAAGCCTCGAAGTTCGGCTCCACCCCGTGCAGTTCGCACCCGGCCACATAGCCTAGTACGTTGACCCAGGAGTTCGGGGCTAACTGCCATAACCCCAACTCATACCCATCCAAGATCCGTTGAACAACCGGATGTAGTGGGAAGCGCAGCCCAGCCTTGATGGCCGCCTCGTAGCAGCCAAAGCAGGCGCCATCATAACTGGTACCAGCCGGCCAGACGACTGTGTCTTCTGGATCCGGCACGAACACTAAAAAGCCGGGGCCCATTGTGTGGTTTGCGATAAAGCTCCCCATTTTCTCTTGCATGGCCGTGATCCGGCCCCGAGGTACCGTGCAGTAGTAGGGGGTATTTTGCTCTCGGTGAGAGGCGGATGGCTCCGCCCAATCGTCCCCCTTCTCAACTGCGTGAGAAAGCCTCGCCTCTTGTAGGCGACTGTTTTTCTCTTCTGTGTCCAGAGAAGCATGGCCAGAAGAGCTAGACTCGGATTCGTCCTCTGACGAGTCCGAAGAGGACGACTCCTCCCCTCTCCCGGAGGGGCCTACCTCCTCTCCTTTAAAAGGAGCAGGAGAGAATGTAGAATTGTCAACTGTAAAATGGGAAGGGGTCACTTTGACTCCTCCCTCAGAACTGCCGGCTTTCAAGCCGCTTTGTTTCACTTCCACATCTGGCGCCTGGTCAGATGTTTCACTAATCGGCACCCTGTGGGAGGAGCCGTTTGAGTTTGAGATCCTGACAGTCTTTTTTGTTCTGGCCATCATGCTCTGCATAGACACAGATACAGTCAGACTTTGTATAAAGGGCAAAGATGGGTCCAGAAAAGGGCAGGCGGCACTCCTAGTCCTAGATTCAGCCGTCCCCGGTGACCGGCTGATCACTAACCTAGGTCGTGTCGTGTGTTTCCGTGGTGCCATTTCAAAAAAGAATAAAGTAAAGAGAAAATTAAGAGTAAGAGAACCGACGGTTACCTGAACGAGTGACGATTGATGAAGTTCTGAAAATCCTTTGCAGTCGGCTTGTCAGAGCAGGCGGTAGGCAGAAAGGGTCCAAAATGTCAGAGCAAGTTCAGGGGTCCGAATGTTCTCTCACAAAGTTTTCAAGTGTGAAAATGACCGAAGTCAACACTCCTTTATATAGGCGAAGTGAGAAGGCGAAGGGTCACTTCCAGAATTCAAAATTTTGGCGGGAGAATCTCTCGGCCTCTCGCCGAGTGACACCTGTAGCAGGCCGTCGCCTGTTACAGGGCGATACCTGTCACAGGTAACACGTGACCAGTCACGTGCCACCTGTGAGGGGCAAATGATTAGGGGATTTTGCTCCCACCAATCGGAATGCGCCACGTGGGCCAATCAGGTCCTGCCAAGTGTCCCCCAGTTGGACATCTCAGGGCTTGCCACGTGGCACACGCTTATTCGTCCACCCTGGACTTATTATGTCATGACACGTGGCATACTCCATGCCTAATGGAGAAGCCGGTCACCTAGGCCCAACTTCCAAGGGAAGCCCAATCAGCCCAAGGTTAACCTAAACCTAGATTGGCACGTTTCCCGAGGTTATAAATACCTCCCTTAATCCTCATTAAGGGGGATTACGCAGATTACACACATTAAACACTCTCACCTAGAGAGACCCAATCACTTTAATTTCCGCATTAATTACTCCATAATCAAGTACTAACTTGACCGTCGGAGGCGGATCTCCAATCATCCGGAGCATCCGTTTGTTTTGCAGGTACAGGCGTCCGGTTCCAGTCTCGGAATTGTAACTCTCCCGCAGGACATCAGAAAACCCCGAAACACTAGTAACAAATAGAACTCCTTAGTAGCCTTTTTTATTCTAGTAGCATTTTGTTGATCTGTAATAACCTAGTGACATCTTAGAAGTGTTCTCTCCTGTATTCCTTCGATCAGGTTGTTTAATCCTTATAATTTGATTATGTTGAACTTTCTTGAACTTATATCCAATATGCTTGCTTTAGAATTTATAACTTAAAAATTTCTTGCTAATTTTTCACTTTTGCCTTGAACTAATAAAATGCTAAATATCATAGGAAGAAGCAGCTGGTGTTGGGAAGGTCAGACATAAAAGGCTGGCTAATCTCATTGGATGTTGTGCAGAGGGGGATGAGAGATTGTTGGTGGCTGAATACATGCCCCATGATACTCTATCAAAGCATCTTTTCCATTGTGAGCTTCAAATCTCGTGTTATGTTCACTCGTATTCTGTTACTCCCTCACATATATTTGGTTGGCTAAATAGGCTACATAAAGAATAAATTGTGTTTGCTTTTTCTTATGTGTATATAGTTGTGTAGACAAGGTGGTTATATGCCTTTGATGACCTTGATGTGCTGTGCATGATAACTACTTTAACTTTGGTCTTTATTTGATTTTGTAGATGATAAGCAGCCTCTTCCGTGGGAAATGCGTGTGCGAGTGGCCTATTATATTGCATTGGCTCTTGATCATTGCAATGCAGAAAATCGGAAAATTTATCATGATTTAAATGCATATAGAGTGCTTTTTGATGAGGTATATTCTGTTATTCTGCAAATTTACTGTTCCGAGCTTTGTGGCACTTTCTTTAGATGTCTTCTGTTGTGCTTTACTTTTCATTCTCTGCTTTGGTGTGAGTAGATAATAATGTTGGTATATATAGGTCGCAAGTAGTTTAGGAGTATAAACTATTAAGTGATTAAAGTCTAAAGCTACGTAGGTATTTACATGAAAGAAACAGCCAAAGTCCGAAGAGCATAATGTGTTTCTACTCTTGGGGAGAATGCAGACGTGTTGGATCTTAGAGGTCATATATCCTGTTGGAAACTATTTTCCATTGTCTTTATACATGTCATTTTTATGACTTACAACAGGGCAACAGGCTATGCAATACTAAAATGTGTTGATATTGGATGAACACTGCCAGAATTTCAGCCATGGTATTGAATTTTACAGACATGCACTGATATTTAGCTTCCTTGGAAAGATAGCTAATTGGTGCTTTTAATATTATTACGTACTTGTGGTTAATGTGGAATTGTGGATCTTGTATTGCTTACTTATACCCTTTTCCATGTCCTGTATAAATAAGCTGCATATCAAATGCTACACGCATGCTGTTGGCATTTAAAGGAATACTCCATCCATTTTTCAAATTAGTTGTTACTCTTATTTATTTTGGTTATTTCAAATTAATGGTTGAACTTTGCCATATTCAAATTTGAGGCATGTTGCCCACAATTTTCTATTAAATTCCTACACTTTTTGTACATATAGTATTTTATGGGCCCATAAGCTGTTTTTATGTTAATATGGCTTCTTAAAAAATTTCACTTTTTTCCATTTTTCTCTTAATCATTTCCTTGATTTTGATGAAAAGTGTTGCCATTGACTTGCAACAAAGGTAGTATTAGTTTTTATGTGGTTTTTTTTCTTTTAATTTAGGATGTCACTTCCAATACACCTATTTGCTTAAATGATATTGTGAACTTCATGAAGTTTGATTTTCTTTTTCTTCAAGGCATCATTACTACTCTTGGCTGGAGATAATATTTGTTTGATTATGGTGGATGCTTGTTATTTCGATCTTGGTATGGCAGAAACTGATTTTTCCTGAGTTGTTTGCTTGTTCAACTAATCTGCCTTTTGTTTTGATTGCTTCTTTAGATTAGCATTTATCCTGTGCGACAATTACGGCTGTCTAATCCCTTACAAAATTGGCTCTTTTTTTATAGGAAGGTGATCCAAGTTTATCCACTTTTGGCCTAATGAAAAACAGCAGGGACGGTAAAAGCTACAGCACAAACTTGGCCTACACACCACCTGAGTTTATGCGGACAGGTAATTTGTTTGTCAGATTTTCCCCATATCTCCTATCATGTTAAAGGGGAAGATGGTTTTAAAATTAGTTACTTTTTGCTCGAACCAGCACTCTGATGCAAAATAACTCTCAGATTACCCTTATTCAACCAAACTGTAAACAATTTGCTAATTTGCTTCTTGCTGTGACCACCCGTCCACCCCTATTATACAAAATAACTCTCGGATCACCCATATTCAACAAATTGCACACTGTGGATATTGGAAGTGTATAATTCCCCCCCCCCCTCCAAATCCAAACTATTGTGACACTAGACTGATAATGCCAAAGTCTATCAACATCATGAGCTAGCGGACTTCCTTGGATGTGGCGTACCATGTTTCTAAAAGTTTACTTGTAAATTCAGTGTTAGGTCGCCCATTTATATTATTCTGTGCTGAATTTCTTATAGAATAGAACTATAGAAGATATGACAGAACTCAGAAGAGTAAAATTGTGTCTCAATGAACTTGTTCGTAAAGGTTATCTGACAGTATTAAAACAACAAGTTTAGAGGCGCACGCAATGCGTGCACGACTATCCCCCCTCTTTATACTTTGTGCATAAAGTTATCTTTATAATTTACTTATTTGCGTACACGGCATATATATTGACATAATTTTATTACTCCGTATTTTTTATAATTAGTAAAGGTAAGAATCCATTAAAGGGATAAGCTTTTAACCATGCAAAACAATCCTAAATTTTACAGTGCATTTGTTATATTAGTTCTACAATTACATACATACTCATTTTTTTTAAAGGATGAATTGAACCCATTCAAGGTATTATATATACAAATGATTAAATAAATTTAAAGGGAATAGTCGTGCACGCATTGCATGTGCCTCTAAACTTATATCATTTAAATTATACATACTTGTAAAATATGTGTACAATGTAAATATTCGTACTACTAATTAAATTATAGTATGTTGCTTTTATACTTATATAAAAGTTGAAAAAACCAATGCAAACTTACAAACACCGACTTTTAAAACACCAAGTGTCAAATTTATATCATCAAATAAATATTCTCGAATTAAACTAATATACCGTCTAACATAACTACACTTGAAGGAATTATTTGATATGAGAAAAAATAACCACCATAAGAGAAGTTATCTTTTTAAATTTATGGAGTAGTTAGAAATGGAAGTTATATCTTAAGTTTAAATTTTAAATACATTTTAATTTTTTTTAATTATAATAAATATTTGTAGAGAGGGTAAAATGGTCCACTCAAAAATTCCCAACCAAAAACACTTCTTTTTATATATTACATAGATAAAAGTTGAAAAAAACCTATGCAAACTTACAAACACCGACTTTTAAAACACCAAGTGTCAAATTTATATCATCAAATAAATATTCTCGAATTAAACTAATATACCGTCTAACATAACTACACTTGAAGGAATTATTTGATATGAGAAAAAATAACCACCATAAGAGAAGTTATCTTTTTAAATTTATGGAGTAGTTAGAAATGGAAGTTATATTTTAAGGTTAAATTTCAAATACATTTTAATTTTTTTTAATTATAATAAATATTTGTAGAGAGGGTAAAATGGTCCACTCCAAAATCCCCAACCAAAAACACCTCTTCTCTTTATTTATTACATAGATAATTCTTCTTCTTATTATTATTCTGTTAATTAATTTGTTATAAGTATGTCAATATCTATCCATATATGTTAATCTTTGAATTTACGTATTTTGGACGCATCTTTTACATATTCCATAATAGATCCCTGGTTTTTCATCTACTATCTTCTTCTTCTGCTTGAACGCCTTAATCCCATAAGTGGAGTCGGCTACATGAATCAACATGAGGACTTTCGATTTGTAAATCTTAATGCTAGCAAGTCACGTAATTCAAAGTGGAAACTGGGAAGGTATATATATAAGTAGTATATAATTTTTTTTCTCAGTTGCCAATTTCAATATCCAAGATTACCATGAATAATATTAATAGCTTATATCTTAGAATACTCCTGGCCATCCACTTCACCTGTAATTCCTTATCTTGTTTTTCCTTTCTTCATGATTGTTGGAAACTAGTATCATTTAAAACTTGATACATCACTTAACTATTTAGCTGCCAAAACTCTGCAGGAAGGGTTATTCCCGAGAGTGTCATCTACAGTTATGGCACCATTCTACTTGACCTTTTAAGTGGGAAGCATATACCTCCTAGTCATGTATGTAATCTTGGTGCCCTTTATTTATATATCTTTTTATATTTATTTATATATTTTTAAAGTCTGGTTTATGCTTTCCTTGTTACCTGCGTTCTGGTATTTCCTTATAGTAGAAGTAATTTGTTGTGTCAAGATCTTTAGTTGTAATATATGACAGGAGGGCTGAAATTATCTTGGCTAATTCTTTACTGTAACTAGAAGCAGCTAGAATTTCTATCCGAAGTGTTATAGATCGCTTTCATTTGTCACTAGTTAATGATGAATTTGTTGCGTCTAGAATTTTCTCATCTTTCATTAATTTCACTCTTGACAATTTATTCCATGAATTCTGGAACTGAATCAAATTTGTCTGTCATTTTCTGAGTCCAGCCCTAACTTGAGCAGAAGGCCAAACTGTTAGTAGGTTTATCTCAACTGGGGCTCTTGTTAAGTTTCTGTATGGAGTATATATCACTTTCCGCTTAGTTATTGGAAGGTATTCTTTTGTGTGAAGATAATTGAAGTGTAGAACACATAAGTGCTAGTTGCAATCCATATCTTTGTACTCTGCTTCAAACAAGTACATCATTTGGGGCATTGTCTTAGAAGTTTTTGCAAGTTGGACATAGTTGTTTTCTAAGTTGGGGAAGTCCTGTACCTGCTGCCTGTCTTCATTTACATTAAAATATGATGTAGGTTGGAATTTATGTTTTATTTTTTGCCATGTGAATGTAATCTAGGTTTTCTATCAGTATTGGTTCAATGTGGATTTTTTTCTTGTATTGTTTTAATTGTTGGAATGTGCTGATTAAATGGCCACTGCTCAGGCATTGGACATAATAAGGGGAAAAAGCGCATTGGTATTAATGGATTCATCATTAGAAGGACAATATGTAAATGAGGATGCGGCTACAATGATTGAATTAGCATCAAAATGCCTACAGTATGAAGCAAGGGATCGACCTGATATCAAATTCCTTCTTGCAGCAGTAGATCCCCTGCAAAAACAGAAAGAGGTATACTTATTTTTCTGTGATTTTTAATATAAGTTATTGCAGTTATACTTGTTTTGATTTCTAGCTATTACATTAATTATAGATTCAGTATTGATGGAAATAGTTGATTTTAGGTTACGTCTCTTAATCTGATGGGGCTGGCCAAGGCTGCAGTAGTGGTTCCAATAATGCTTTCTCCCTTAGGAAAGGCTTGTGAAAGGTTGGACCTCACAGCTGTGCATGACATCTTGCTTAAAACTGGCTATAGAGATGAAGAGGGTGCTGATAATGAGGTACATCTGACTTTTACCCCACTGGTCGGACACTTATGCTGATTTGGTTTCTTTTGTTTCTTAACTCTTTATCAGTGAAAATCAAATGTGTCACACCTTGACAGGAAGAGTAGGATAAATTGAGTTGCATTTCCAAGCATGTTTCATACTTTTGATTATCTCCTTGATGCTGACTAGAGCAGTTTCTTCCTCGCTTTTGGTTATTTCGTTCAAATGTCGCTCTTTTTGCACTTGAATAGGCAACAACTGGTGTAACTAAACATCCATGAATTAATAATAATGTTGTTAGCCGACTCAAACAATCAATACATATAGCCAATGGTAGTAGTTGGTTAAACAAAAATGACTTTTATTTATGGGGTATTTTTAAAATTCCTGGTTATTTTTCCTCATCTACCCTAAATTGGATACAGATGGTTTGCCATCTCTTTGTGTTTCTCTGATAGTTATCCTCTATGCAGCTCTCATTTCAAGAATGGACACAACAAGTTCAAGACATGTTGAATACAAAGAAATTCGGAGATATTGCATTCAGAGATAAGGATTTTAAGAATGCTGTAGAAAACTATTCAAAGGTACTGATTTGCCAGCCTCAGTAGAGTCATTGACACTTTTCCTGTAAATTATGTCAAGAAATCTAGACTGTGCATTAAGAGATTATACATGCTCCTGAAACTCTTGCTTGTGTTTTTCAAACAATACAGCTGGTGGCTATGATGCCTGCACCTTCAGCTACTGTGTTTGCAAGGAGGACCCTCTGTTACTTGATGATTGGGCAACCCGAGCTTGCCCTTAGGGATGCTATGCAGGCCCAGGTATGCATACCAGAGTGGCCAACGGCATTTTATTTACAGGCCCTTGCGCTCTCCAAGCTAGGGATGGAAGCTGATGCCCAGGATATGCTAAATGATGGTGCTGCCTTTGAAGCCAAGAGGCAAAGTAGCTGGCGGGGCTGAAATTATTTCTACATTAAACGCCGTAATATTGCTGTAGAATATGGAGATATGAGAGGAGAGGTTATGGAGAAGATAGCTGGGATTGAGCAGTAGTTGGATCAATTTTTTCTCTTTAGCTTGAGGTGTTGGTTTTAATCATATACATATGATGTAATATGTCAAAGTATATTTAGTCATTTATTAGAGAATAGATAACTAAATTAGTTCTAGCTACTATTGTGAATTTGTGATCCTTCGTCATTTCTATCGGAGCCATTCAAAACTCCCATCGTAATTTTGTGTTCTTAGATGCACAGGGGCACCTCGAGCCCATACAAGACGAGTGTGATGAACTTGCATGTCTTATTACGAAACAAACTTTAATTTATATAGTGCTAAAAATAATCATCTATCAATCAATATACTCCTTCTGCTCCATATTGATCTTATTTGGAATCTTTTTACATAAATTAAGAAAAAGAGATTCTTAAGTATTAAATGAACTCACTCTATATTTTATTACTTGACCACTTTTCTTTTGCGGTTATATTTTATTACTTGTTTTATTTTATTTTTTGGAATTTTTTAACAATATTTTACAAGTAGTTACCCTTCTATCATATTTGAATATTTTTCATACTCTCTCCTCCCCACTTATACTCATTTTTGATTTTTTTTAGATTTTTGATTTTTTTTTATTTTTCTACCAATTCCACTTCTATCATAAAATAATACTTTATATTATTCCTTTAAACTTTGTATCAGGAGAAATGGAGCAAGTAATAAAATACGAAGAAATGGAACAAGTAATAACAGATTCGTTTGGGTTGGTCCCTTTTAATTTGTTAAGCTATGATTATTTTCCCTTTTCTTTTCTTTTTTACTTGGAACCAAAAAAATGCAACCATTACTCAACTCTATTTATGTTTTGTTCGAAGGATCTAGGAGATGAAATGATGATTAGTCCCTCCATCTTCCCCCAAGTGATGGGGGTTCGATTCCGCATCCCCTTATTCCCGTGATAAGATGAGGCCCTCCCTCGTATCTTACCGTTTAAAATAAAATAAAAAAATATCTTTGTTCTGTTCTATTCTCTAAAAAGCACTTGCTGAGTGGACTTAAATGACATTTAACAATGTTGTTAAGTCTGACACACTTTTTTAATTAACAAAAGTCTTTGTTTAACCTCGAAAACCACAAAAATTATCTAAAATCCCTCAACCATAATCTAACCTGAAATCAAACCTCAAACCTTTGCAAATCCCTTCCAACAGACTCAACACATAATCCTTAAACCTAAATATGCATCCAAACTAAGGGAAATTTCGCGAAAACCACTCAACTTAAGCCACAAGCTAACCTAGGAGCTAAATGGGAGCTGCCAGGTGGTGCATTTGGCACACATCTTGTGCACCCAATGCACATGCCAAACGCACAAGGTCGTGCGCCAAGTGTAGGGTTTCGTAGTGACCCGACACTACGCGGAAGTAAACCCACCAAGACCTGCCCCTTAATTAAAACAATTAACAAGCATATTAAACTTAATCAAACAAGATTAAGAACAAGAATTATACCTTTGTCGCGTGCTTCGCTCCCAAAGAGCTCTTACTTCAAAATCCCGAAAACACGAGATCTTCGACGGATCATACCCTCGACCCGACCCGAGCGTCCTAAGTCTTGAAGGTTAGTCAAGACCCGGACAAAATAACTATGAGTTTTACGAATCAAAGGTTTACTCTTAATTAGAGTTGCCTTTTTTTTCCACTCAAGGTTGTTCATTCCTAAATACCCAAGCTTGGTATTTATAGGGAAATGAACCCTTGAACTTCATTCCCCAACCAATGTGGGAGAATGAATAATTTGCTAATTAATTTATTTCTAAAATAAATCAATAATTCAATTCAATCACAATACAACAAGTGTCAAGGGGAGAGAGAAGGTTAGGTGAGGACCATGGAGAGGTGGGGGGGACCATTTCCTTGCTCCCCAAGGCTTTGCCCAAGCCTTGGTCCCCACCCCTCAAAATCGCCTCAACCAAAGGGCTGCTGGGCTGCTGCCAGCTAGCACGCCAGCTAGCAGTGCCAGCTAGCCCAGCCAGCTAGCACCTGCCCAGCCAGCAGCCTCACATCCCAGCCAGGCAGTGCTGGTCGATGCTTGGCGCTGGTGCGTGCCAGTGCTAGGCACTGGTGTTGGCCCTCGCATCCCACGCACCATACGCATCCTCGCTACACTTCTCGCACATGCTCGCATAGCCAGCATGCGTGCTGCTAGCGAGCCACGCATGCTGGCCCCTTTGCCTCGCCAGCCACACGCACCATCCTCGCAGCATCCCTCGCACATGCACTAGCTACGCACCATGCGCACTAGTCATGCATAGCACACATCAGCCTCGCACCACACGCACACCCACACATCACATAGTAGCCTTGGTGCGTGGTGATGCTGGGTTGCTATGCGTGGCCTAGCAATATGCTGGCGCCTAGGCCCTCGCCCATGCATGGTGCGCTGCTTGGTGCTGCCATGCGAAGGCTAGCACACAAGCCAGCACGCATGCTTCGATTGGCTGCTTGGTGCGCCTAGTGCCTGCAATGGCAGCGATGGTGCCTAGGCATCATGCTAGGGCTGCGACAGCGCCTATGCATGATGCTAGGGCTGCGATAGGCTGCCATGGCACCCCTAGGCTGCGATGGTGCGCCTAGCACACCTAGTGTGCTTAGGCTTGCGCCTAGCCATGCTAGGTGCATGCTAGCCTGAACTAGCCTAGCATCCACATGGTTAGGCCAGTGTGGTGCTAGGGCTATGTTTATACTTGTCGCTTTGTGATTTTGCGACGCTCGGTCTCGACGCCCTAGGCTCGATATCTGACGTCTGTATTCGTAAAACTCTGCTGACTCATTAAATCCTTTCGGATTAATTCGTCGTCTCGGATCGGTGATTCGATTGGGTTCGACCCGAAGGGTTCAGTTAAGATTAAGTTGTAACATCAATTGTACATTGATATTACTGATCGGAAGCGGCCTCCACCTAGGCATTTTGATCACTTGATCTTACTGAAGAATTAGCTCTGTAATAATTCTGAAACCTCTATCGGAAGAATACACTTGTTGGAAGGACACCATTCCTTTCACCAAGCGCATAACCTAGTCAACCCTCTCCATTTTCTATTAAATACCCCCTATTTTTTGTTCATCTGAAATGGAGGGGGGTTGAGTAATTTCTAAAATCCATCTAAGCACGACCATGCATTTTCACAGTCTCGCTCTTCGAGCGGCCTTGTAAACAACAAAACATTTTCCCTATTGTTAGTAGGGGGACAATCCCAGTTTTGTATTGTAAGTTCCTCTTACTAAGAGGACATAGTCTCCTGAGTGTTCCCGTTATGATCCCCAGTTACGGCAGACGTTAGGAAACATCAAAGAGTCTAGTACTCAAACAAGAAAACTTCACAATACTCATGGTCGGAGGAAACAAGTTCCGATAGTCGTAATGAGAAATGTACTTATGACAATTTTTTAAATTTCTTAAAGTACTCTCATAGGTCTTATCCAGTACAGTTCCAAACTATGCCTGTGCAAATGATTTATGACCGTCACGTCCTTGCATCATAAGAAACAGTGCTGTAAATCATACTACACACTAATCTATGGCGGTCATCAATCGTCCATCCGTTAGATGACCTCGATTAGGGGCAATTTTCGATTTAAATATTCAATGTTCACTTAACAGGTGTTTCTTTATCCAAGACATGGTCTTGATACCCTGTTTTGAATATTTCCGTAAATTGAATGGACTCACTATTTAATTCTAAACCACAATTAAATAGTAATGGAGTGAATGATAATTTTGCACAAAATTAATTACTCCATTAATGAATGGTTTTAATACAGTGTCTTACATTAAATATACTATTTAATTGAAACACATGTACAGGGAATTTCAAAGCCAGTCTCCAACATGCTTAATTCCCATCGCCTCAATGTGTTTGTTGTGTTTCACTTGAGGCAGCGGTTTAGTCAAAGGATCAGCTACATTATCATCTGTGCCAATCTTATAAATTCTGATTTCACCTTCGGATTTCCATTCCCTTATCATGTGAAATCGCCTTTGTACGTGTTTGACCTTCTGGTGCTCTCTCAGCTCCCAGCCCTGAGCGATAGCTCCATTGTTATCACAATAGAGGTCTATCGGCCCCTTGATTGAGGGTACAACACCAAGTTCGCTAATGAACTTGCGAATCCAAACAGCTTCCTTGGCAGCTTCTGAAGCGGCCAAGTACTCGGCTTCAGTTGTAGAGTTTGCAGTGGTGCTCTGCTTGGCACTCTTCCAGCTAAACGCTCCTCCATTCAGATAGAATATGTACCCCGACTGTGACTTGAAGTCATCTCTGTCAGTCTGGCAGCTAGCGTCGGTGTAACCTTCAACAAACAGTTCTTTGTGGCCTCCATACACCAGGAATTTATCCTTGTTCCTTTTCAGGTACTTATGGATGTTCTTGGCCGCAGTCCAATGCGCCTCTCCTGGGTTCAATTGGTATCGACTCGTTGCACTCAGGGCATACGATACATCTGGCCTTGTACATATCATGGCATACTTGATCGATCCGATTAGCGAAGCATATGGGATCTGATTCATTTTTTCCGCTCAACAGGTGTCTGTGGACACTGTTTCTTGCTGAGAGTTATGCCATGGGACATGGGTAAATGCCCTCTTTTGGCATTCTCCATGTGGAATCGAGCCAGTACTTTATCAATGTAAGTACTCTGGCTTAATCCAATCATCCTCTTAGATCTATCCCTGTAGATCTTGATGCCCAATATGTATTGTGCCTCTCCTAATTCCTTCATTGAAAAGCACTTTCCCAACCAGCCCTTTACGGACTCCAACAATTTTGTGCTGTTTCCAATGAGAAGTATGTCATCGACATACAGGACTAGGAATGCAATATAACTCCCACTGACCTTCTTGTATACACAAGATTCATCTGGATTTTTGATAAAACCAAACTTGCTAATGGCTTCATCAAATCGCAGATTCCAACTTCTGCTGGCTTGCTTTAGTCCATAAATGGACTTCTTCAGCTTGCAAACCTTTCCAGCGTTGCCTGGATCGACAAAACCTTCTGGCTGTGTCATATACACAGTTTCTTCCAAAATTCCATTAAGGAAGGCAATTTTGACATCCATTTGCCATATTTCATAATCGTAATATGCAGCAATCGCTAGGATGATCCGGACAGATTTAGCATTGCAACTGGTGAAAAAGTTTCATCATAGTCAATCCCATGGACTTGTCTATAACCTTTTGCCACCAGTCTAGCTTTGTATATTGATACATTTCCATCCTTGTCTGTCTTCACTTTGAAGATCCATTTGCAACCAATGGGTGTATAACCCTCGGGCAAATTCACCAAGTCCCA